TGCTAGTGGAGCTGCTGGTGGGGATGATGTCGATTGGGACACCATCAAGAGGATGAGGGGTGAGTGTTGGTTTTTCTTCTTTTCTTCTCTTTTTGGTGCTTTATGTCAAATGTGGAGAAAATTAGAGTGGTCAACAACTTTTTCGACGCCATGGAGGTTGCTGCAACTAGAAGTCATGTTCGTATCCGTTTATAGTAGTTTTCGTTCAGTGAGAGTTTGAGAGTCCTTTAGAAACTCTATTTATATAATAATGCTACTTAAATACTTTTTATATGTGTAGGATATTGACATATATTAATCTATGTTGTCGCTTGTGATACAATTGTGCTAGAATGTACTCCCTCCATCTCAAATTGTAAGTCATTCCAAGAATCTTGGAGAGTCAAAGTATTTTAAGTTTGACCGAATTTGTATGATAAAATAATAACATTTAGGATGTCAACCAAGTATCATTAGATTCTTTATAAACTATATTTTCATAGTATATCTATTTGATGTCACGAATCTTTGTAATTTTCTCTATAACTCTGGTCAAACTTGAGATTGCTTTGACTCTCCAAAATTCTTGGAATGACTTACAATTTGGGATGGAGGGAGTATATCTTTATATGTATCACATGTTGTGAGGTGTTTGTTCTGATCTGTGCTGTTACAGCAAGTGCGGCAGCGCCGCACCCAGCTGCAACAGCAAACCATGTTGTGCATAAACTGTCATTTACATCACGTTTTACATACCTGACACAATATGCAGCACCCCACAGGAGTATGGATGTAGGGGGAGCCCCATCATTTTCACTAAAATATGAATCTTGGCTTCTTATGCTAATTTGAGAATTCAATTCTCTATTCACATACTTAGGGGAAGGCTCTACACCCATGGCTTAAAAATCTCAGTATTTATTTCATAACTTTTGTAAGCTCTAATTGGGTTGTCATCAATCACCAAAAAGAGGAGATTGAAAGTGCAATCAAGCCATAATTATGGATTTTTGTGATAATGACCACGTAATTAGAGAACTAATTAGATTTATCGAGATGACAAGCAGAGATGTTTGAGGATGCTACACGAAATGAAGGAGCCTCCAATTATAAATGTAGATGGCTTCAAACTCAAAGGAAATTTAATTTTTTTTATATTTTGAATTTGAGTATAGAAAAAGTCGTACTATAAAGGGGGACACAACGTTTATGCTAATACGTGCTACCAAGTGCTCAAACATACACATGCATCCTCAAATTCACAGCTAAGACAGTCTACACTTCACTCGTACCCTTGCTGTCTTACGTGGTGCGGCACTGCCGTACTTGAAGAGAGGCACTACCGCAGTACGGCACTGCCGCACTTAAGCTACGGCACTGCCACGACTTAAGTTACCATTGGGGCTGAGGGGGTATTTATACCCATCCTCTTCCTCCCCAACGGCTCTTCTTCCTCCTCCTGCTGATTCTAGCACGCCCAAACAGAAAAAGGAGCTCTCCCTCTTCCTCCATTGTTGACCTCAAGCCTCAAAGCAAATCCAATGATTTTTCCATCAATTCTTAAGGGAAAAAGGTCCAAAACTTGATTAGAGAGCAGCTCCATTGATTCCCTAACCTAAAAGAGCACTTGGTTCACGTTTTGGCCGGCGGTTGTGTTTATTATTCTTGGAGCTTGGCTCCTAGCCGGCTAGAGCGTCACCCGTGGAGCTTGTCAACTTGTGTGGCAGACCTGGGAGGTTTGTAACCATCTCTTGAAGCTAGTATACTCACCCCTTATCTCAAGAGTTAAATCTCTTGACTTGAGAACGAGAAAGGGTTAGAAAGCACTAAACCTTAGTGGCTAACCTCAACAACGTGAAGATAGGCAAGCCTTGGTGGCGAGCCGAACCACGGGATAAATCATTATGTCACTTATGCTTGATTTACATTACTTGCATGACATATTGTGGTTGAGATGATTTCTAGGGTTTCTAGTCGATCTACTTGTGTGTAGTGTTCCTACTATTTATAGCTTTTGATCAGTGATTGTCATACCTGCAGTAAGCTAGAAAATTTCTCCGATCTAAGTTTTCGTTCACGGATTTTGAACTGGATTCAAAGTTGTCTGCAGATGTGGTAGTGCCGCTGTTCTGGTCCGGCAGTGGCGTAGTCTGGCAGTGTCGCCCTTTAAAACAGCAGTACCGTATGATAAATTTGATAAAAGTTTGAATGCTTATTTTGACAGACCTATTCACTCTCCCTCTACACACTCAGAAATCCTACAGTCCTTTGATACGTACTTGCATTTATAGGAGTAGGTTTAGGCTCGTGTATACGAGCATACCGGTGGATCGCTAAAAGAATCACGTTTAAAAAAAATGATAAAGCCATAAAGGTATCCGTAACCGGATAAGATATATATCTGCCTTGTGGAAAATAGCGCACCCTGCACATCAGTCTGACACTCTGAGTAGTTGCGCGCGTGGCAGCAGAAATTTTTATGGGCCGAATGCGTGGGGCTTGATTCAGATATGCCCACAGGTCAATGGGCCGGCCAGCCGGCCTTCGCTACGAATAAAAGTCGTTAGGCCCGGTACAGACATTTGAATTGAACGGCCCCATTCGGCTCGCTGAATCTTAGCTGAAACTGGCTGAAAACACTGTTCTGGTTGAATTGTTGTGAGAGAAAAATACTATTCCGGCTGAAAAAACAAGCCGAACAAGCCGAATATGGGGTAAGCCGAACGGGGCCTAGGGCCTGTTTGTTTCCGGGAGTGGGTAACGCACGGCGCGTTTGAGCGAACGCAGCTCCGGGGCCGCGTTCGAGATTTCCCACAGTTCAACTTTTCGCGTTTCGTGTCGCGGGCGGCCGGCCAACGCGTTTCGGACGCGGAGTGTTTGGCGGGCTGTTTTCGCGTTTGCCGCTCAAACGCGCCGCAAGCGCGGAAACAAACAGGCCCCTAGTCTCCATTTTTTTAATTGTTATACTACAGACACTAGTACTAGACTGACTAGCTAGGTTCTGAAAGGTAAATTAAGGCCTTATTTAGATTGAGGTTAGGAATCAATATTTGGCATTGTAGCATTTTCGTTTGTATTTGACAATTATTGTCCAATCATGGCCTAACTAGGCTCAAAAGATTCGTCTCGTAATTTACAATCAAACTGTGTAATTAGTTATTTTTTTATCTACATTTAATACTCTATGCATGTGTCCAAAGATTTGATGTGATGGAGAGAGAGTGAAAAAACTTGCAATCTAAATAGACGTCTTAATGTGTATGATGCCATGATGTGTACCCCCTCCATCCTAAAAAGATATTTTAGAATAGTGTTTTGTTAAAATATGTCAATATATAAAAATTTGCTAATATCTGTTGTACTAAATAGGTATCATTAGATTCATCACGAAACATATTTTCATAATATAATTATTTGATGCCATAAATATTTAGTTTTATCTATATATTTAGTCAAACTTTAGGCACTTTAACCAAGTAGGTACCATTAGATTCATCACGAAACATATTTTCATAATATAATTATTTGATGCCATAAATATTTAGTTTTATCTATATATTTAGTCAAACTTTAGGCACTTTAACCGAGAATGAATATAGAATTGTTTTTGAGGTAGCACCTAGGATGCTAAGTCCTCTGTTTGGAATATTTTCAATTCTAACTCTACTTTTTAGTCAAATTTTCTAAAGGTAGATCAAGATTATACAAAAAAATATTAATATTTCTAACATAAAAAATAGGTACATAGTGAAAATATATCTCATGTTAAATATTCTAATGATATATTTATTTGATACTATAAGTACTGATATTTTTTTCTAAATTAAACTTGAAATGATTTGACTCAGTGCATGCTATTCTGAAAATTGTCTTCTTTCTAGGACGGAGGAGGTACATTTGTACACTATGGTGGGTCATGGCTGCTAGAGTACATAATATTTGTCTGTATGCAGCGTGTCCCTCTGCATACTCTCTCGGTCCTAAAATAAGTGTACATCTCGCTTTCTAAGTAGTTAAACCTTAAGTTTGACCAAATACCTAGAAAATATTATCAATATTTGTATCTTTACATAAATTTATTTTAAAAATATGTTTTAATGTCAATTTAGCGATGCTTACATTACACATAATAAATATAAGTACTTTGTTGTATATATTTGGTTAAACTTAAAGGAGTTTATAACTCCTTGAAAATCGAGAGAAACGCTTGTTTTGGGATGGAGGGAATATGGCTCCTAGTTATACGTTACTACGTGTGGACCAGCTTCGTAGTGCCGTCACATGCGCAACAGAAATTCAGTCACGTTTGCTATTGCGCGCGTTGCTTTCGCCTGCTGCATCAGCAATCAGCCACGGGAGCCTAAAAGATAAACTAATAAGTACTACTAGCTACACTGTCCGATTAGCAGCCGCCTAATTGAGCTATATGATGCATCGGCTTAACTACTGCCGGCCAAAATACATATAGCACATGACACACACACAGCAGCAGCAAGGCCTTCTGCAAGCAAGGAAAGCAAGGCGCAACCTGCTGTCCTGCGATCCTGTCCTCCTCTTTCCATCTTCTTTTTTCTCATCGCTCTCATCTTCGATTCTTAGATATCTTGTTTCTATCTTTATATATCTCTACCTCCGTGATGCTAGAATCTATCATTCCTTTGTTGATCCCTTTGCTTGCTGTCGATATATTATTCCGGCGTCAAACCATTGTTCGTTGTTGCTACAAGCTACTACTGGCCGCCGACGATCAATCTCGCCGCCGGCCGCTATCTAGATAGCTGTGTGGATAGATCGTCCGTCGTCACCGCCGTGCACCATCTTCCTTTCATCTCTTGCAGTCCACTGATCTCTTGTTAGACGGCCGCCGCCGTCGTGTTTGCTATAAGAAGTGCAACACGCACTCCACGCAAGAACGAGGCCGAGCTGAGCATCATATCCCAACAAGAACAAGAGTGGAAGAGTGAGCGATCGAGCAGAGGTCGTCGTCGTACGTAGCTAGGCGGCGGCGGCGGGGCAGGACGATGGAAGGCGCGGGCGCGGGGTGGCCGGAGCCGGTGGTGCGGGTGCAGTCGCTGTCGGAGAGCGGGGCGGCCACGATCCCGGACCGGTACGTGAAGCCGGAGTCGGAGCGCCCAAAGGCGGCGTTGGAGCCGGCGGCGGCAACGACGACCGAGGAGGGCGGCATCGGCGGCGGCATCCCCGTGGTGGACCTGTCGTCGCCGAGCGACCCGGCGACGGCGCGCGCGGTTTCGGAGGCGTGCCGCAACTGGGGCTTCTTCCAGGCGGTGAACCACGGCGTGCCCTTGGAGCTCCTCCGCCGCGCGCGCGGCGTGTGGCGCGGCTTCTTCCGTCAGCCCATGGAGGTGAAGCAGCGGTACGCCAACTCGCCGGCCACGTACGAGGGGTACGGCAGCCGGCTGGGCGTGGAGAAGGGCGCCGTCCTCGACTGGGGCGACTACTACTTCATCCACGTCCGCCCGCCCCACCTCTTCGACCCTCACAAGTGGCCGCACCTGCCCCCTGACCTCAGGTACATTAATTACCACTATATCGTCACCGTCATATTTGTATATATGTATATATATAATAAATATAATATAATATGATATGTGTGGAGGAATGGGAATTAAGAAACGCGTGACACATGCATGGTCCTTGCTTCAATCCGCAGGGAGACGACGGAGGAGTACAGCCGTGAGGTGGCGGCGCTGTGCGGGCGGCTGATGACGGCGATGTCGGTGGGCCTGGGCGTCGGGGAGACGCGGCTGCAGGAGGCGTTCGGCGGCGCGGACGGCGCCGGGGTGTGCGTGAGGGTCAACTACTACCCGCGGTGCCCGCAGCCGGAGCTCACGCTGGGGCTGTCCTCCCACTCCGACCCCGGCGGCATGACCGTGCTCCTCGCCGACGACCGTGTCCGTGGCCTCCAGGTGCGCCGCCGCGGCGCATGGGTCACCGTCCACCCCGTGCCTGACGCCTTCATCGTCAACGTCGGCGACCAAATCCAGGTACGTACGTGTCGGTTCCTGCACGCACGCACCTGATCGATATGATGAGATGCCGTGCGCATGTGTGGCCTGTACGAGTGTACGTGCTGATCCTGCCGGCTAATTGACAGCGGCCGGCCGGGCCACAAAATTAAATCGTCGCAGAGAGGAGAGGTAGAGCTATCTGCGTAGCGCGCGGTGGCGACGCAGACGTGACGGTACGGTGCATGTGCTCCAATTTTTTTACTATAGCAGCTATACGGGTGCACCGTACTGTCTATGAGACAAACGACATATCCGTCCGTCCAAGGCCCATCTGACGGAGCAAGCGCAGCGACGACGGACGGCCGTCGCACGTCCACGTCGCGATTGGACGCTGCCTCACGACAACGGCCGGCCAAGGTAGCTAGCTTAGCTAGTGTGGTTACCGACCAGTAATATCCTCTTGCCGTCCTCGTGCTTCTTCACTTTTTTTTTAACTTTTAACCCTTTCTTTTCGTGGTAGCCCGTGACCAGGCAGAAAAGGACTACTAGCTAAAGAAAGCGTCAATACTATATACGTGGTACAAGGCCTATAGACATGTCGTTGCCAAGTCATCCATCCACACGGTTAGTGCAGCAAGTAACCGTGGCAGCCTCCCAAGCCATTCCTTCATTTCACCACATGGATATATTGACACGCACACACCCACCCCCCTCGGTTTCAACTGATAGAGCTAGGCATAGGTACTCACTCTCCTATGTGATAAGTAGTATGTGGTGCCAGTTTACCTGGATAATGCTTGGATAATTATGGTAGTTAGTTTGGACACATGCTAGTCGTGTTGACCTATTCGTTGGGAACCTAGAAGACGAGGACTTGAGCACGAGTGGCTAAAGTATGGTACAGAGACGTCCTGGATTGAGCTCGGTTGTTGGCGGAGCTAGTGCACTCCTGTATATAAAGTACTGTAGTTGATTCTTTGCACCAACCAACTTGACTAGACTTATTATTAGATCACGTTTTCAAAAAGAGATAGGGCACCAACTTTGTGTAAATTACTATGGATGGAGTAGAATTAGATACGTATATTTACACTCATTTTAGCATAGTGCCAAGCTAAACTCTTTTAAAATTACTAGCCAAGTTTATTAAAAAAATATCGCTATTTATTATAATACTAGATACAGAGTAAGTGTCACCAGATTCGTTATGAGATCCATTTCCATATATAGTATATATATTTGTGTAATGAATATTAATACCTCTTTTTTTTATTATAGTTGTGGTCAAATGTTATAAATTTAATCAAAGATAAGGCTCGAAAACCGAGAGGTAGTACAGTGCAAACAATCAGATTAGGTGTGCACCAATATCGGCATGCATGTGTGTCTGGAGGTGATGCATACCACACGCTTATTTATTTATTTTATTTATATATATGTGCATCGTGCACACCGACCATGCATTCAAACGTGACACACCCACACACACACCATCTGCGCGGTGTGGGGACCTGGGGCGCCATCTGATCTTGATCTTGATCTGATCTGATGGTCACGCACGTACGCATCAGCTGTTCATTTCATATACAGCACGCACGGCCACGTAGTCATGTATCACCTTTTTGGAGGCCACAAGCAGCATTCACGTCATTCTGCTGCTTGCTACTACGTACTCCGTCCCCATGCCGCTTTTCGTTATTATTTTTCGTAGACGAGGGCTACCACCACTGTACAGGAGTAGGCGCAGTAGCCGCACGCATCACGAGGCGATTGATGGTCGTGGGGCCCCTCCTCGGCCTTGGCCATCACCGGTTCACCCTCACCCCTGACGACTTTCCAAAACGGGCATACGCCCACGTCAGCGGAGAGGGCCGGCACGGCAGGCCAGCACGGAGGGGCATGGTCCAGCTGGTCCTACACCCATCACACTTGTCGATCGGCTCCACTGTGAGCTCCTGTGCTGGGCTGTGATCTGCTTTGCACACAGACACATGAAACTGATCGATTTTCTATATAGCATAATAAATAGAGGAATTCCAAGTCCATGGATTTTCTATAATTACATACGTACCTATGTATTTTCACTAGCTAATACTACTATACATGTATGTATGCAGGTGCTGACGAACGCGACGTACCGCAGCGTGGAGCACCGCGTGATGGTGAACGCCGCCGACGAGCGGCTGTCGGTGGCGCTCTTCTACAACCCCAAGAGCGACCTCCCGCTGGCGCCCATGCCGGAGCTCGTCTCCCCGGACCGCCCCGCGCTCTACGAACCCATGACCTTCGACGAGTACCGCATGTACATCCGCCGCAAGGGGCCCCGCGGCAAGAGCCAGGTCGACTCCCTCAAGGCGGCCACCGCTACCACCGCCGCCGTCGACGTCAACGTCGCCCCCGTCGGCAGAAAATGCTACTAGCTAGCCTGCCGAGATGATTGCATGTGTGTGTGTATGCGCGCATGCATGCCGGCCTAAATAAAACCATAGATTTTAGTTTTTCACTTGGCTGAAAAATACTGTTCCAACTGAATTGTCGTGAGAGAAAAACACTGTTCCGACTGAAAAAAGAAATCGAATAATCGGATTATAAGGTAAGCCGAACGGGACCTAAGCCTCCGTTCGGCTTACCTTATAATGTCTACAAGTAGCTCTCTAGCTAGAGTGCTTGTTGGACTCTTTAGAGATCTGATGGTCATTTTCGACATTCATATCCTCACCGGTTGTTCCTTGTCCTCATATATATATATATATATATATATATATATATATATATATATATATATATATATATATATATATATATATATATATATATATATATATATATATATATATATATATATATATATATATATATATATATTCCTTTTATCACTATCACCACTAGGCAAAAGATCGAATTGGGTAGGAACGTACCCCGCAGGGTGCCATGACGACCTACCACAGATTCATGACACAACATACTCATGCGCGCTGAATTTAAGTTACTTCTGAAGTCAAGTATGAACATGTGTCATGAATCAACAATAGGTTCTCACGGTGTCTCCGTGCCCACTGTTGCCGCCTCCAACAAGGCTTGGAATGAATATTAGGATAGACACCCAGTTTTAAAAACCGTGACAAATTCAGCTGTACTCCAAGTATCATCAGTATTATCAGGAATATTTAGGTTTGTCATGACTCGTGACACAAGCGATCGACACGTGCCAATTGGGCTGCATATATACGGCAGAACAATGGTTGGTTCTCTGCTTAGCCGTACTATGAAAACAACCCTGCTTCACCTCGATCTGCTCTGCCATCCAACCACAAGATCGAGCAAGGTGAATGTGAAAGGTTGACAAAAAATGACAACCAACTCCATTATTTGCTGCTCTCATCACACAATGACGACCGTGACTCCAATCCACAGCCAAACGGTATTTGCCGATAAGAACAAGAAACCATGGACATTGTTCTTCCAAATAAATGAAACCACCAATCATTCTCGCTAAAATATTATTCCCTTTTAGCTTTCGCACGTGAACAAAAAAACGATAGGCCGGCTGTCTTTGTCCAAAACTCATGTGCAAACAAACACTCCCTTTTTTTTTTACAAACCGTATAAAAATACAAGCATAAAAAAAACTGGAAGTGGTGGCGTGTCATGCTTAAGTCATGGACTCATGATCATGACCCTTGAGTTATCATAGTGTTATACTATCCTCTGTCCTAAAAAAAATACACACACATCTCATGTCACTGTATCCAACGCTATCACCATATATAATTAATTATTTCAAATATTGTGTCTATGAAAAAACTATTAAAATTAACACCAAACTGTTCACTTTTTGCTAAAGATAGATGTAGCTGCAGCTCCATTCTCTCTCCTAATTATTTATTTGCCACACAAACAAAACAAAACAAAAATTATACAGGGCGTCTAAATATTTATGAGAAATAAAATGCAATGTTGTTTTCTGAAAAAAAAATCATTTTCTGACATACTAAAACAGGCCATGAAAAAGGAAAGAGTGGGCCGACAACCACAGTGGGAAAGCAAAGATACAGCTGACAGTGTGGTGCGCGCGCAATATTTTCTGATGGCTCCCTGCCCTTCATATGCCAATCCTTGCGATGGTCCTCCTCTCTCTTCTCTGACACGACAGCACCGAAAATGGCATCTTCACGTGTATTTCACATGCCTTTGGGATACCTACGGCACATTTCCTCGTGACCTCGTTGAAAATTCAATTCTAATTTCATTATCTTTTTTTATATGTAATTTTCAGAGAGAAAACAACAATGGTCGATCGACGGGTCTTTGTCTGATGACATTACATACCTGTTTTTGGCCCACGTGAACGATGAACTGATGAAAGCAAGATATCCAGGAATCTCTATCATCACCTGCCCAACGAAGATTAAAAAAAAATCGTCGTCGTCATCAACATTGCCCAGGAATCTCTTACGATAGTCTGATTAGCAAGTCTGGTGGTTGTGTTCGAGTAGTGGTGTAAGGCTTTGCATTTGTCTTCTTTTTTGTCTAGAGGATCATTGGAGAAAATTTGATCTTAGCCCTTTTGCTTCAGGAAGCTTCAGGAAACTTGAGCCCATCTTCAAATCTTGACTTCTCTCTCTCTCTCTCAACATGGACCACCCAACATGATGAACTAGAAAGAAACAGCGAGGCGCTGGTTAATGCGAGTGACCGATGCTGCTACAATTACACAACTGAGTATGACGATGGCTCTGTCCGCTTTGCTGAAAAGCCATGATTAAAAGTACTATTCGTTGATTTGTTGTAAGAGAAAAATATTGTCGTTCGCTGAAATAGTACGGCTCATAAGACAAGTGAACATGGTCGATGACGCAAACAGCAGCAACTCCACTGGCAGGTTAGCATGGGTGTAATCTTACAACAGCTAGAAAAGAATACACCAATACTAGCAGGGAAAACCATTTTCTGACATACTAAAAACAGACCATGGAAAAGGAAAGAGTAGGCCGACAACCACAGTGGGAAAGCAAAGATACAGCTGACAGTGTGGCGTTTTTCTGATGGCTCCCTGCCTTTCGTGGCTCCGTTCGTTTCGCTGAAAAAACAAACTGAAACACTGCTCCGACTAATTTATTGTTAGAGAAAAATACTATTCTGACTGAAAAACAAGCTGAAAATAACGAATTATAAGACGAACGAACGTGACCATATATATGACAATCCTTGCGATGGTCCTCCTCTCTTCTCTGACACGACAGCACCGAAAAATGGCATCTTCACGTGTATTTCACATGCCTTTGGGATACCTACGGCACATTTCCTCGTGACCTCGTTGAAAATTCAATTCTAATTTCATTATCTTTTTTTTATATGTAATTTTCAGAGAGAAAACAACAATGGTCGATCGACGGGTCTTTGTCTGATGACATTACATACCTGTTTTTGGCCCACGTGAACGATGAACTGATGAAAGCAAGATATCCGATGCCCTGTTCGCTTGAACTACTTTTCAGCCGGATCAGTTTATTTTAACTTATTCTTCCTCACAGAATATTATTGAATCAGTCGAAACTGGTCGACTTATGTACCAGCCGAACAAGATGACCCAAGGAAGATTAAAAAAAATCATCGTCGTCATCAACATTGCCCAGGAATCTCTTACGATATTCTGATTAGCAAGTCTGGTGGTTGTGTTCGAGTAGTGGTGTAAGGCTTTGCATTTGTCTTCTTTTTTGTCTAGAGGATCATTGGAGAAAATTTGTACCCCTTTTGCTTCAGGATGCTTCAGGAAACTTGAGCCCATCTTCAAATCTTGACTTTTCTCTCTCTCTCTCAACATGGACCACCCAACATGATGAACTAGAAAGAAACAACGAGGCGCTGGTTAATGCGAGAGACCGATGCTGCTACAATTACACAACTGAATATGACGATGGCTCTGTTTGCTTTGCTAAAAAGTCATGTCTAAAAGTGTTGTTCGTTAATTTGATGTGAGAGAAAAACAATATTCGTTCGTTAAAATAGTACGGCTCATAAGACAAGCGAACAGGGCCGATGACGCAAACAGCAGCAACTCCACTGGCAGGTTAGCATGGGTGTAATCTTACAACAACTAGAAAAGAATACACCAATACTAGCAGGGAAAAAACATTTTCTGACATACTAAAAACAGGCCATGGAAAAGGAAAGAGTAGGCCGACAACCACAGTGGGAAAGCAAAGATACAGCTGACAGTGTGGCGTTTGCGCAATATTTTCTGATGGCTCCCTGCCCTTCATATATATGGCAATCCTTGCGATGGTCCTCCTCTCTTCTCTGACACGACAACACCGAAAAATGGCATCTTCACGTGTATTTCACATGCCTTAATTTTAATTTTAATTTCATCATCTTTTTTTAGATAGAAAAGAAAGATCATAGATGTGTAATTTTCAGAAAGAAAACAACACAAGTTAATGAACGATGAACTGATGAAGGCAAGATATCCAGGAATCTCTATCATGCTCAAGGAAGATTAAAATAAAATCATCGTCGTCACCAACATTGCCCAGGAAATCTCTTACGATAGTCTGATCAATACAATTATTACCTTCCTATTCTAGTTTACAATATATCAGCTGGCAGCCGTGTGATTAGCAAGTCTGGTGATTGTGTTCGAGTAGTGGTGTATTTAAGGCTTTGCATTTGTCATCTTTTTGTCTAGAGGGTCATTGGAGAATTTGAGCTTAGGGGGCGTTTAGATTCCAAAAATTTTGCACAGTACCCGTCACATCGAATCTTGCGGCACATGCATGGAGTACTAAATGTAGATGAAAAAAAAAACTAATTACACAGTTGGGTGAGAAATCGCGAGATGAAACTTTTAAATCTAATTAGTCCATAATTAGACACTAATTACCAAATACAAACGAAATGCTACAGTGAGCCAAAATCCAAAAAATTTTGGATCTAAACGCCCCCTTATTCCTTTTGCTTCACGAAGCTTCAGGAAACTAGCTTGAGCCTATCTTCAAATCTTGACTTTCTTTTTTGACAACATGGGCCAGAGCCTTTGGTTTATGTCTATCCATCCTAGATGATTTGCCGGTAAACAAAGAACCACTCAACGAATCATGAAAAGACATCAATCAAGTCAAGCAGGAAAAAATGAAGAAAATGAGAGGCACATGGAGCGAATTAGGACACGTACAGCAAAGTACAGAGTCACTGTTGGCACAGTGGAACAAGACTGGGATAGGAGATTGATAACACTGCCGCAGAACAGAACACCGGGCGAAAAAACCCTGGCGGTATGATTTTTTAGCCCTTTTTGAAAAAAAAAATCACAAATATGTCCGTGGATGTATGATTTCAAAATCTGGACTCTTACCTTGGCGCCATCATTGGTGGCGCCGAGCTTACACGTCTTGGCGCTAAAGATTCTGACACCTAGGTC